GGACCCCATTACTTAAAAGCCCCAATGTTTCAAATCATTTCCCTTCCCTCCATTAATCCCAAAACCGTTTCCCCCACTCTTTCAACTCCCCAAATCACTCCATAACTACCTCCTAATATCCTCCCTTCCATAAAATCCCATAATCTCTTCCATACCAAATTCAACCCATTCCATAATCTAACAATAAGGGTCCGGTGTTTTGTCAGTAACGAAAAGGTGACTCCTTGGTCTTGCTAAGCATAGTATCATCACGCAATCACACCACTCCTTGTTGCTTGTAAGGTAATAGACTTTCTCTTCACTTTGAATTTCGATTCATCGTTTGAATATAGAGGGTCGGGAGTTGGGTCTTGACCTTGGGTATTTGTTAAATGAAATTGCATGATAAACTTGAATATTTCAATGCCCTTGGAACGATAGATAGTGATTGTATAGCATTAGTGAGTTTATGTGATCATAAATACTACATGCTAGTTTCGACTTAGGTTTCCACATCTATTCTAAATTGTAGGGAATAATAATTGGCCGAAATCCTAGGAACAACGAACTAGCATATTTTAGGTTTGTAAATGCATGATGAGGTTGTGTTCCTGTTGAAAACAAAAGCAAAAAAATGGATGATACCTGGCACTGATGGATTCCACGATACCCCGTCTACGGACCGTAGATCCATCTACTGACCGTAGATGGGGTTCGTCATTGGAAGCACCTGAAAATTTTCACCAAGTGTAAAACCACGGAGGTGGACTATGATCCGTAGATCCATATACGGACCGTTCTGCACTTTCGTGGTTTCCATCTGCAACCTATATTTCAGGGCCCCTGATCCACGGAAGAGATCCACGGACCGTAGATCAGTCTACGGACCGTAGGTATCCTCCGTGGATGACCACTGTAGCATCTTTCAATTTTTTGTGTGGAGTTAGTTTAGGGTCGTTACCAATTCTAAATAGTTTCTTTTGCTGCATATGGATTAGTTTTGGCACTAATATCGTTCCCGCAGGTACGATGGCACCCAAGAAGATAATAACCTACTCAAAACAGGGAAAGTCAAAATCTGTTGCTCCCAGCTTCAGGTTAATCGATGAGGACAC